CAGCGTTTTGCTTTTAGTAAAAATGAAATTGTCTTGTATCTTTTTATTTTATTTTTGCGAGACAAGTCAAAGCTTGCTTGAATTTTGGGCTTTGCGTTTACAGTTTTGAGAAACAGAAAAGGAAGTTTCAGGAAATACATTTTAGCAATTCAGCATTTCACACTTCACAGGATAATTATAATAACCATATGATTTTCACGGACTATGTGGGAGTCACAAAATATAAAGACATTTACAAACTTTTACCTCTGTGATTGCTACTGTGAAGAAACAGGACACTTTTGGGGTTCAATACCTCATGGCCTCCATTAGAATCATTCGTGTATGAGCATGAATACAGAGCCATGCTGTGTGATGAGGGCAGTTGGAGTTCTTTACATCAGGCTGGTGGTGTTTCCTATGATTATTTTATTTTAGGGGAACAAACGTCACCTGCCACCTTCTTCTTTCCTGTATAAGAAGGACTGAGACAGGTAAACAGCCAACTTGTATAAGGATGTTTTAGGGTTTTAAAGATCTCTTTTATGCAAACTTGGCCATTACCACATTACTGTTTTCTTCACTGCCCAATAAAAACTATGGCTGCAGGCAAGGGCCTTCTTAAATCATTCTGACTTACCTAGGTGTGTGTGTGTCTGTGTATTTATAGGACTATGTGAGAGGGACTCTCCAGAGTGCTCGCACACACAGGCCGTTCTGTCAGTGCAATGAGGCAGCCCACTTGCCGCAGAGCGTGTACTTGAGAAAGGACGCCTGAGTTTGTAAATCAGTCCCGCTGTTCTTCTGTTGTTGTCATTTTGGTTTATCTCTGTTTTTTGATCACATCCACACTAGTCTCTCGTTCATTTACTCCTGTCTTCTCACCTCTTCTCCTCTATTTGTTGACTCCTCACCTTCATCATGCTTGACCTTTTTTTAGTTGCATTTGATTCTCTGTGTTAATTTTTGGTTCCTTCAAAAACTTTGGTCCAAGCTGTCCCTTTTTAAAACAGAGCATATGTCTCTTCAACCAACTCTTTGTACTGTGCCTGGTAATCATTTCCTTTCAGACTTGTCAGCCAATTTGTACGTTGCTGTTCTCGCCTTACCTTCTGTTGTTTTTTTTCCGATTATCTCAAGGTGGAAAAACATCACTGATTTTATTGTATGATTAGCAATTTAGCTCTAATTATGGCCTCCCACATAAACCAGCACTTCCATAGTGGATATTCCACACAGTGGTAATTTCCTCATCCTTTTTCATGGAGCCTTTATGTACAAAATGTGGCTCAAATGGAAATTCTCTCTCCTCTTAATTAGATCAAGGAATCTGCAAGAAGTCTTGTAGTGTTTATCCACACATTAGAGCCCATTAGACTGCAGAGACACACTCCCTCAGCTCTTTACGTAAACTGCAAAGACGACACACTGTTTGTTGGCAGAGAGTTGTTGTATTTGGCTTTTTTGCTTTTTTTTGTTCCATTTGGACATGAAAGGACAAAAAGACTGGTCTCTTAGAGTGGAGGCTTGTTTGACTACAATCCAGATCTTTTAAAAGCCACATCAAATGAACATGTCAGAAGCTGGTGCTATGTTTCTGTGTAGTGTCAGTGAAGGGTTACACAACCAGAGACATGCAGCATGGAAACAGATTAAGACTTTGTTTGCAAATGTCTTTTGTATTGCTTTATTATTATTTTCACACAATTAAGGAAAGCAGTAAAGTCTAGTCATGGCGATCAGTATGAAGAACAGAGCGGTTGGGAAAGGCTTCAGGGCCTGATTGTTTTTTAATAAATTTTAAAACAATTGCTGATAATTTAATAGACCCTCTTCTGCTCATGCTCATTTATTCCATTGGAAGTCACTATTAACCTAAATCCCTGGAGCAGGTAATTACTAAAGTCTTACTAAAATCAGGGAAGGATCCTAAACCGTCCATTGACAAATCTCAATAATAATTACAAAGGCAGATGACAGTCTCCTTAAATTCAATCAAGCTGCACCTGATTTCACACACTTATAGATATCAGCCCCCTAAATATACCAGAATGTTTCTTTATCAAGATCCATTAATTATTGGCCTTAGTGGCTAGTATCAGCTACTTGGGTTGAGAAATTCCTTCACTCCTCAATTGGGCCCCAGACTCTTTATTAGACAATGTAGTGAGATCTGATTGGTGTACTGGTTTCCCCCCCTCTTCCTTCTTGCATTGATAATTGAACCCACTTGTAATTGGAATAAGTTCACATTCTTGCATCGCTTGGGTCAAAGTATTTGGTGTATGCAGATGACATCATTTTGTTTTTTACCAACCCAGACTCTGTGTCTGCTCTCACAGACCTGTCATCAGAAATATCATGTGACAGGTTCTGAGAAAGGTCTACCCTCTTCACTTTTTATCCCACTCAGGACCTTGTTTATTTATGTTTCTTACCCCACCCTGTAGCACTAGACTCATTTAAAGCCCAGCACAGTCTCACAGACAGATACATTCTCATAGAATCTCTGGATACTTAGAATGCAAAAAAGTTATAAATAGCACCTCACTGTAGGATATAAAAAGTGTGGTGGTGTTCAGGGGCTGGACATTTCCACAAACCAGACAGAGTTTCTAACCACATCAAATAATTAGCACTTCTTTGTTTTTAATGCAGGAAAAACATTTTTGGGGTAAAAAACCATATGTACTATAATTACTTCTGACTGCATAGTCAATTGAATGTGTCACCAATGTGCAAAAAGGGTTTGGATTTTTTATCTGCTGACCCAACATATGCTTAAAAAACAACTGATACTAAAATATTATAGACAATATAAATATTGATCCAAATTACCAGTAAATCGCGGAGTACATGCGTATGTCCACCACAATGCACGCTACAAATACAACTAGCCGCCTCTTTAAGGAATTTAATTAAAAGATATAAAATCAAATTGCCAATTATTACATGGAAAGAAAAGCAACACAAATCAAGCCAAATGATTTGTATGCGTTCACATGCCTGGCCAATAAAGCTAATTCTGAAAGACCTGTAGCCACGATAGTCAACATAGACGTTGTTGTAAAGAAGCTGTAGAATTTCTAATATGTGGATGATCCAGTATTACAAAAAATAACAATTACCACAGCTTCAAGGTGGGAATCACAAATTCAATATCCAACCAAATGTGAAATACGGTCACAATCTGTCTTTCTGTTTGAGAGTCACAGTGCTGAATACTTATTATTGCTAGTGTGGAGGCAATAAAAAAGGATCCACAGAATAAAAGTGTTATAAGTGCAACACTCACCGGCTACATTGCATCATTTGAATGTAAATCAGCAGCCGTAGCACACACTAGACTTGTTAAACAGTCAGAAGACGTAGTGAGATTACAGTAGCCATGATAGGACTGTTTGAAAAGAGAATACGATAAAATATATCTTTTCTGGTATACGTTAACACAACTGACCCCTATTTACAATAATATGTGAAAACATGTAGTGTATGAGCTTATATATAAATAATATATAAAAGTATATAAAATAAATACCATATATGCACTCCTTACAATACTGATGTGTTATATTGACTTCTATTCAAAAGGATCAGCAATATTCTGGCAATCATCCAATACCTCAGCCCCACATATCTTGATGTGCTATTGACCCTGAGGCTAATTATACAACACATCTTAAGTTTCTCTGTCCAATAAGCATCATTTGTAACACACACTATCTCACTCCCAGTTTGTCATCCCCCACTTTCTCCTTCCCCACTTTAATTTGATTTCAGGTTGACAGTATTCGCTCATGAAAAGAAACAGTTTCATTGTATTTGCATTTGCACTGTTGTACTGTATCCATTCAGTCAACTGTGTTTTGGTTAATTACATTTCTACCTCTTGCATGAAACTGTCGTCAATGGCCTCAACACAGTAATTACATTACGTTTATTATTGATTTCCACACAAAAACACATGGAAACATGATCACATTCACCCGATACACGGAAGCACCCTGGAGTCTAAATAAATGCATGCATGTATTTGCAAATAAACGTATTAACACAAATGATGCACACATAAAAAGGTATGTGTGCACATTCAATTACACACGCACATGCTTATCCATATGCATGCCACACACAGGGAAACACACAGCCATTGTGTCGGCAAATGTCAACTCGGCTTTTTCTCCCATGAGGTTCTTCAGTGTCAGATGAGATTGTGTTACTTTAGTGTCCCAACGTGTGACTGTGTGTGTGTGTGTGACTGTGTGACTGTGTGTGTGTGTGTGTGTGTGTGTGTGTGAGTGTGTGTGTGTGAGTGTGTGAGTGAGTGAGAGAAAGACAGTTAGAGGAGGAGATGGGGAGAGAGAGAGAGCGAAGGGGGACAGTGATGAGATATGTTGCATAAGGGGGTGCAGTGGAGTGTGAAAGAGAACAGGTGGCTCTTGTTTCTGCCATTGAGCTTTATGTGCCATCCTCCCCATAGGGTGTGTGTGTGTGTATGTGTGTGTGTGTGTGTGTGTGTGTGTGTGTGTGTGTGTGTGTGTGTGTGTGGGAGGGAGAGAAGAGATAGAGAGAGTGAGATCCTATTGCTTTTTGAGGGGGATTTTGCATTTTGTTCTTACCTCCATACATGCAGATGTTACCTTGTCCTGTTTGACTCCTAATTGGTGTGCATGTGTGTGTGTGTGTTCTTTAGTGAGCTGGGTTCCGGTTGGTTTAGAATCAATTAGAACAAGCTGCAGGAGCCCAGAGGGATCATTCTCCAAATGTCACCCAATTAACAATCTATAGTGAACACACAACTGGGCTCATGCTGCCCGTCTCTCTATTTCTTTCTGCCTGTCTGTGTCCTCCTGTCTCTGTCCCCGGTGTTTCCCTCAGGACATGTTTAGTGATTTATTCTTGAAAAACAGCAGGTACACGTCACACACTCACAGAGACACCAGCAGAAGTGCAGAGAAAACAGCAAAGTCTCTTTAACATCTGTCTTTATCTCTCTCTCTCTCTCTCTCTCTCCCTCTTAGACCAATCATCCAGGCCGGTGGTCAGGACTAGGCAGCAGCAGCAGTCTGGCCCCAAGGGACAGAAGGGTAGTGCGGGGTGTGGGGGCAGCACTCGCAGGGGACCTCTGTAACCAGCACGTCCTCCATCACCATCCACCTCAGCACGGCCACCCTCCTGCCTGTGAGCGACACACTGCCAGGGAAGAGCGCCACTGCCACGGGGCACTGGCACAGTCTTCAGCCCGTAACCCAGCATCAAATCTGGCTACAGGCTCCTCCAACCTGTCCCTTGTTGTCTCCACTGCGTCAGCCCCAGCCTCACCTTGTACTCCAGCTCAGCTTCAAGTGTCACACCCGGGGCCCAATCCAAATCAATGCCCGGGCTCTGGTTCGGCGGCCGCTAATCTCACCGTGATTCCATGTCTGTCCTCCAGGCAGCCAGAGGGGGTGTCCTCCTCTTCTGAGTCATTAACTGTGGGAGGAGGAGGAGGAGGAGGAGGAGGTAGTTTGTCAGGTGGAGTGAGGAGAGCAGGAGGAGAGCACTACCCCCCCAGCCATATTCCCCGCGCGGTCGGGGCCAGTGCCTCCTCGAGCCTCCACAGCCCCGCAAGCAGGGGAAGCCCCTCTCCAAGCGTTTCATCCTCTGACCAAGCCTCCCCTCCGCCCCCCACACCTTCCTCCGCCTCCTCTTCTTCCTCCTCATCCACCATATTTACAGGTCGTTTAGGACAACCACCCCGAGGTCCTCTGTCCCTGCATAGCTACAGTCGTAAAAATGTCTTCCTCCAGCATTCCCTGCATACTGCCGAATTGCAAGCTCTGACACAGCGAGACAGTTGAGAGCGCGCGAACATCAACCCCCCCCCCACCCACCCACACACACACACACACAATCATAAGCCGCCATATTACTGACTCAAGTGACAAAATATGTGACTTTATAAAAACACAGCTGCTGCTCCGAAACAAGTTTTCTGAATTTCACTGTCTCTGTTTCTGCGACACATGAACAGCACATACTTAGAGTCCCACTTGTTTCTCTTCACCGTGCTCACCAACCCTTCGCTGACATTTCGTTCGTAGGTTTGCTCGCTTAAACACACGATCATTCACAGGTGCACACAGGCTGCAAGTATGAAAAAGGCACTCACCCGTCTATCAGAACTCCCACGTTGTGTCATGCTGACAATTTAGATGTGCTTACGCCCACAGACACACAAAGTGCAGCACAGAGACTCACAAACCTTCCACAGAGACACACACTTACATTCTCAGGCAGAGACATCATCCACTGATGTCTCTGCTTCACAATCTGTACAAATAACAGGGTTTTCCACCAGGACAAAGACGTGAGGTTTCTATTTGTTTGTGCTTTGTTGATGAGATTTATTTTTTATTCATTGATGTTAATAATTTTTACCAGTTTGCTTGTAAGGACTCATTCTCACATTGCCAAAACCCTACGTCAGATCCACTCCACATTCCTTGATGTCCACTTAGGAGACTTGTTTAGGTGAACATCTGCATCCACTACCCTTTTACTGCATGCTTTTTAAAATGTAAGGAAAATACAAGTGGGCCTTTTCTACTGCAACAACAGGGGGGCGGGGGTCTTTTGATAATGTTTCAGTACCTCAGTGTTTCAAGAAGGGAATCGAACATGCTACGACCTCGAAGATGTGTGTTTTGAGAACTTGTCGATCCCACATAACTAAGACATCACATCCGCTCTCTGGGTAACTTGACCACTGTTTTTATAGGAATACAGCGTTGCAATATTACCCCCGTTATATACAAGAATCAATGTGTGTTTGAAATGTTAGAATAGGACCGTACAAAATGAAGAGTTCCATTGTGAGAAATTGTCATTTGATCAACATTATAGTGAATTATTATTCACTTGGCGAAAAAGATCAGAACACGTGTGTGAAGAGAAAAATTATTTGAGATTTAGAACAACCAGCATTGTGTATGTTTTTCCAAAATGTACGTGCGTGCGTGCGTGCGTGCGTGTGTGTATATCAGGTTTTGGAATGAAGCTCTTCAACTCCTCTTTAAGGGCTGGGTATTGAACAGGGATACATACTGGTGCTTTGTTAAATGTCAATACCCATTCTTAGAAATCCAAAGGGAACAAATGTGTCAAATCGTGGCGTTAAAGTTACCTCACAGATTTTCCTCGATCAATTTATTATTGGAATTAATTGCGAAGTATCGGATTCTGTTTGGTGAGGAAAAATGACAGAAAACTCTTTTACTTGATCAAATGCTTGAAATAAAATATACTGCAAACACGATTTTATAAGATATCCCATTTAAAAAAGCACCAGCACTTAGTTTTTCACTGATACCCAGTTCCTGTATGATCTTCTTTTATCCTCCTGATCTCAGATGTGTTGGTTATCCTTTTAAAAACTGACCTAACGAGATGGTGTTTGGTATAATTAGGCAAGCCGTTATCTTGTTTTGAACAGTGGGACAAATATCTTTTGAGTAAGATTAACGCTGTGACTGCCATGACCTGCTGAGTCGTACAACTTTATTCACATTAGACGTTTCACAGTTTCATAAGTGAGAAAATACACCAGTACGTGCTCAGTGTGAACAATGATTATACACTCACCAATCACTTCATAAGGAGCCCCATGCTAATGTTGGATATTGCCGTCAGGTTTTTAACGACTTGGATTCCAGGAAATGTCGGAAACTTTCCTTTGAGATCCAGGTTCATGTTGCATCACGTCATTCCTGCAGATTTGCCAACTGCACATTTGTGCTGCCAATCTCCTGCTTAACCACATCCCAACGGTGTCCTGCTAAACCCAGACATATTGATTCTGAGGTGATTAAAGTACCTGAACCTCATTGTCAGGATCGTGAAAAGAGTTTGAGACAACCTGCTTTGTTAAAGGGAGCATCAACAAGCTGGGAGTAGCCATTAGAAGAGGCTATATTGTGGTCATAAATGAATGCTTGTGGTCAGCAACAACACTCAGATGTCAGGCTGTGGCTTTCAAACTATGATTTATTGGTATTAAGATTCTCAGAGTGTGCCAAGAAAATATTCCCCTCACCATTTCTGCACTGCCCTCACCACCAGCCCGACTTTTGATATGAGGCAGGCTGGGTCCACGGATTCATGCTCTTCACGCCAAATTCTGACCTTCCATCTGCGTGGCTCGGCAGAAATTGAGATTTATCAGAAGAGGCAACATTTTCTGGTCTTCAGCTCAGCAGTGTTAGTGAGACGGTGCCCAGTGCAGATTTCTTGGCTGAGGGCAGTGGAACCCAACATAGTGTTGTGGCCCATCCACCTTAAGGTTTCACATGTTGTTCATTCTGAGATGATTCTCTGAGGAACTGCAGCCGTCCTGCCAGCTCCGACCAGTCTGGCCTTTTTCTACCAACCCCTCATTAACAAGGAACTTCTGTACTTCACACTGTTTCAAATTAACTCAACAGTTTTAGAAATACTCAAACACGCCTGATTCCAACAATTCATGACCCAGCCAAAGTATATATATTTTCCATCTGACCTAATCTAACACATTAGACTTTATGGTGCCACACGATTGGCTGATTGCATAATTGCATGAGGTGTTTCTGATAAAGTGATTGGTGAGTGTACATATGCTGCTGAGCTGACAAAACCATCAAAAAGTCTGTTCTTTCACCCACTGGATTTTCGTATAATTTCGAACAGGAGGTGGGGTCCTGCCCTGCTGCTGAGTGCAGGCCGGACGTTAGCTGCTTTCAGCATCTACACAAAATGTTAAGTTTGGGAGAAGCTGTTGACCTTGTCTGTCTCTAAGAAGTACCTGGCTGTGGGGGAGTTGTGTAAACTGTGAGTGGTGGTGGTGTGTGTGTGTGTGTGTGTGTGTGTGTGTGTGTGTGTGTGTGTGTGTGTGTGTGTTGTAATGCACATCTCATGAGGCGAGGAGCTGGTAGAGGTGAAGAAAAGCCCTGAGGAAGACAGCCCTGATCCGACTAGTGAAAGCTACCCAGTCTCCATCTGGTCTGCTTCATTTGCACAATACTTCCTCTATGTTATCCCCCTTTTTATCACCCCTTCTCTTTTTGTCCTTACTTTTTCTCCACCCACCCGATTTTATTCCATCTCTATTCTCCCTCAGTCTCTCCCTGTTTATTTCCCTCCGTCTCCCCAGCATCCTTCTTTGCTGCATTCACTTCACTTTTGTTCTTATCCTCCTTTTCAACCTGTCATCCTCCTTCCCCCTCCATCGTGTCCCAGGTCTCTCCTTTCCTCCACCTCTCTCTCTCCTGCTTAGCCTGCTTATACCCAGAGCCTGTATTCTCACATATACGGTGTCAGTCACAGATGCTGCTGGAGCAGCTCTCTGTCCTGGGCGCTGGGACCTGCAGCGCTGCTGATTCTCATTCCAGTTTTCTAATTAGAGAGTAATTTTACACCTGCTGAATGCAATGAACTACCTGGTCGAATAGACGGCCAGCAGCGATGTGGCTCCTGAGGACCTGAACTCAGAGCAGCCGCTTTAATGTGAACTAAATACCCCCTGTTAGGTTTGTTTACAGGTGAAGGGTAACAGTTCTCGTTCTGCTGGCTAACCTCTAAAGAAAATCTATTTCCATCCTTCATCGATGCCTGTGTCGCAGGTTAAATGTCATGAGGGAGCGTTTGGCTCTGTTTGCACTGTTCGCTCACACTTTATTTCTTCGCCATGTTTGCTTCAGCTACTGTCAGATATCATGAGAGGAAAAGGCCACTTCTGAAACGGCAGTTCCAATGTGGGAGCTGTCGTCTTTCTGAGACGTGTTTACCTTTGCAATCGTTGCAGTGGAACGATATTGAATTTCACTGGTGGGAAACAAGGGTCAGCAAACCTCACTTCTTGTGTTTACTTAGCCACATGTTGTACATTCACTGTTATTTATTTTTTCTGCCTTATTTATATTTTTGACATAGACACGTTTCCTAAAAGCATCTTGACACTAACTAATGAAGCTAGTTGTCATGATAATAATCATGATGGAAATGCTATTATTGAAAATTATTATTATATTATTATGATTTTAATGAATCACTGATACTGTACTGTCTAGTTTTTTTATGTGCTTACTGTAACTAGGATTCTTTTTTTTCTGTAAAGAATGATTGTATAATTGTACATAAGTAATTGAAAATGTTGATGTTGACACTGAGTAATTAGGGTTGACATTCAGTATGTTGCTTGTTTGGCACTTAAGAGATTAAAAGTTGACAAAAATGTTTAAGATTTTTTTTCCATTGATAAATGTCAAATGCAGTCGGAGGTCTGAGGTATTACCAAGGCGTCTCAGGCTGTAGTTACACATCACAAAACAAATGTGACAAACTGAAGGAATCTAATGTTAACCTCAGTTCCCATGCTAAATTTACATGTAAAGGCCAGTTGACTCCGAGTCCCTGATTTTATCCCACTGTGCCCGTCCCCCTTAAAATCCAGCCTTTGCACTATGACTTTGAAAGACTTGACTTTCCAAACTTTTGCCGAACTGTGCCAGAAAAATGATGATTGATGATAATCTATAAAGCTGTTCTTTTTCTTCTGCGTCTAAGTATATGAAACTGTTGGATATGGATTCATACTGAGCCTCTGACCAGCGATAAGCTCATAACCAGCTCACACATTCATTAGGGATAATCCATCCCAAACAAAGAAATGTCTGATGGGCTTATTTACGGTCAAAAAAAGACTTGCAGTGTGTGTTAACCCAAAGTATTTCTCTTCAGTTTCTGTCTGAGATAGTTTTTGTCACTCACAGTTGTTTGTTCACATGAGAAATGTCCTATCAAAAGATTTCTGTCCACTGTCTGCTTATTGTTAATATTTAATACAAATAAAATAGATGAAAATTTCTTGTGGAGATTGTGACTTTCCATTACTAACGTCAGAGTTTTCATCTTTAAATAAGGTGTGTCTATGAGATAACTGGGACGTATTGAAGCCAAGAAAGAAAGATGGATTCTTCTGTCACTTTTTAAAAAAGACCCTGCGATGCTGAATATAACGTTGGCTCCATCTCTCAGGCTGCGTAGATTTGGCTTCACAAATCTGTAAAGAAAAGCATGAACGGAATCAAAGAGCGAAAGAAGATTAGAATAAAGCACAGAATAAAGAATCTTTGGAGCCATCGCTTGAAAAGAGAAAACTTTTCGTTCAGCTTCGACATTCAAGTGGACTTTAAAAGGTTGTACACAGCAGAGAGTACAGACAAGTGATTTTCACCTCGTTTGACATTTAGCCTCCAACCGACAGTGTTGGAGTGAGTTTTCATGTGGCAGAGGCCATAAAGTATGGAAGTGTTTAGAAAATCAATTAGGTTCAAATGAGTTAGTGCGGACAAATGTGTGTTTGTGT